GAGAGAGAGAGAGGAGGTGTGAGAGGGGGGATAGCACTGGGAGCTTTCGAAAGAGGTTGGGAAACACTGTGACAGGATTACAAACGGGTAGTCAGGACAAGAGTGGAAACCAACGAAAGTGTTGTCTATGTAAAATGCGTGTTTTTGCTATTTCCTGTTTTCCAGCATGCTGACCGCTGACTTCGCGGCGGCGGCCGTGTTGATCTCGTACGGAGCGGTGCTGGGGAAGACTACGCCCGTGCAGCTGATAGTCATGGCCTTCCTGGAGATCGCGTTTCTCACCGTGAACGAGTGGATCGGGACCGTCCAGTTCCAGGTAAGGAATAATGACTACTCGCTGATATGATTCTTTAATAAAATTGTCTGAAAACGTCGCTATCTGATGCAGTATTTGGAAATGGGCCAAGTAGGAAGAACACTTAGTATATTCATCAGAGGGCTTGACTGGTCATTAGTGTACAGATCTAGATTTCCGTGGGTCGCAAATTATAACTCTATGGCCATTACAGCTCATGTTTTAAGTTCCCATCGTTCTTTTGATCACGATAAAAAGAATCGTGTACGTGTTCATTTGATTACGCACATGAATCTTCCCTTTATTTTGATGGACGGATCGACAGGCCCAGGACATAGGAGGATCGATGTTCGTGCACGTGTTCGGAGCGTACTTCGGGTTAACGGTGGGCCGCATGTTGTACCGGCCCGAGGTCACCGACAGCACCAAGGAAGGGGCGAACTACCACTCCGACCTCTTCAGTATGATCGGTGAGAGCTAACGGGATCGCCATTGGTCACTTTTCGTTTGACTAAGACGAGAACAACAGCGAATACGAATAACACAGAGTCAAGCGTTCTGTAAGATTTTGTAACCGCAGATTGACCTTAAGATCAGTTTGGCTGTCTAATCGGCAGGGGATGACCTCTGTCGTGTTGTCCTCCCCAGGCACAGTGTTCCTGTGGATGTACTGGCCGTCCTTTAACAGCGCGCTGGCCGTGGGAGACGGTCGCTACAGGGCCGTCATCAACACCTACCTGTCACTGGCCGCATGCGCAGTGGTCACCTTCGCCATATCCTCTGCAGTTGACAAGGACGGGAAAGTTAACATGGTAAGGACCACTCAGATTCACTGCTTCGTTTTTTTTTCAGATAAAAAAAGAAAGAAGAAGATAACATGAACCGTTAACGATAGAAATACAACCGCATAATGCACATTGGCACCGACTGACAAACATTTGAGGGGTAGTGCTCGTCCTTACTTAGCCCCAAGTATCTGCCGTTGTTCTTGCCTGTGGGACTAGATTGAAGGTGTCTGCCCTATCGAACAGTTTGTCAATTCATGTTTAAAGACGGTCTATCAAGCCTGGTATGTTTGACTTCGTGGCTGCTGTGGTAGCTTTTGGGTCTGTCACGTGTCTAGTGTTCCACACCGTATCCACCATCACCACAAGGTTCACGTTCAGAACGCCACGCTGGCAGGCGGAGTGGCTGTGGGGACGACTGCAGACATGATGATTGAGCCCTGGGGGGCGCTGCTGATCGGGTCCGTTGCCGGCACGCTTTCAACCGTGGGATTTACGTTCGTTCAGGTAAGGTATTACTGGTATTTACGAAGGACCGAAAATACAGGCCGCGGCCTTCGCAGACCTTCTACGAAGCCTCCGCAGATGCTACGTTGAGCACAGAGGCGTAGTTTTAGTCGTTAGTAACTATGCACTAGTATCAGAGTATCCGATGGCCTCCGATGGGTTTCAAGCTGTACCGCATACCAGCATCTGCGTACAGTGAGGAAGGAAGCCTATACTCAGTCTGTTGTGATTTTCTTCTCAGCCATTCCTGACTCGTTTGAAGTTCCACGACACCTGCGGTGTGAACAACTTGCACGGCATGCCTGGGTTGTTGGCGGGCGTGTCTGGAGCGGTGGCGTGTGCGCTGAAACTGTGTGAGCTCGGAGAGAGGTACGTCGTCAGAAAGTCAGTGGGCAACATCTTGTCGCCTCCAATAGACCTTCTTATGGGGGCCATAGAATTCAGCAAAAATAGGGTCAATGACCTGGAGAGTAGGTCCAACGTCAGGGTTTCATTTCCCCTTTAATAGAAGATGAACTCTACGGTGGTCAAACTCACTATTTTGTTATATTTACTGTTTCTAAGCCTGCGTTGTTAGCTGTTGGAGACTTACATCTTGCCCCATGGCTAAGACAAATCGTTAGTCAAGGCTCTGGTCGTAGTTCTGGGCAATCATCAAATCAGTAAACTCAAATCCATTACAGCTGTTGATTGCACAACTTTGTTGGAACTCCAGGCTCACGATTTACGGCATAGTTTGAGGATAAAGTCGTCAGAGGTAGTAACGCTTGTTAAGATCGACATCCACCATGAAGAACGCTATTTTCGTGGGGTAACGTTAGTTTTGCTGAGTATTCTTCCACACACTTGTCCCTTGTTGTGACCGGCTCAGGTCGGCTGCAGTACAAGCGGGGTTCCAGATGGCGGCGCTGTGTGTCACCCTTGGAGTAGCTATGTTGGGTGGAGCCATCACGGGCATCATCCTCCAACTTCCCGTCTGGGACAAACTACTGCCCGACGAACTCTTCGATGACAAGGGATATTGGGAGGTACGTAGAGCCTTTTGTCACAGCTAAATCGTTGCAAGACCGTCTGCTGTGGTTGACTGTGTAATACCCGGTTAAATTACGTCATACTAGTATCTCCAATACAGTCTCAAAACCCCAAAACATTTCCCAGAGGTCAGAAATCTCTGATTTCTTGTTTCTCGTGTCGGATTGCTCTTTTCTTTTCTCCCCCCGCAGATTCCCGATGGTGAGGAGGATGTCGAGCCTCAGCTTCAGCCAGCCCAGTCTGTCATTCAGGACGTGAACTGAGCGATTGGACAAGATAACATCTTAACATTTAGTTACCTGATATCATCTGAGTGTTGTCAGGCAAAGTTCAAGTGTCGTCATAAACATACTTTTCTACATCAGTACACTGTATTCTTTTTTTTTGCAATCCATGTGTTCAATCTCATCAATTTCTCAAAGCGGACAAATCATTCGCATACCCGCCATTCTAGTATTGTCAAGTTTACAGCCAAACATTATGACGCATGTATAGTGGCAAGTCAGGTGTAGTTATGAGATAGTGTGATGCATTTTTTTTTCTTTCCAAGACAGTACTAGCACTAGAAGGAAGCACAAACCAGGACTTTGCTGTGGTGATATACTAGTACTTTGATACTACATATTTTGAAGCGCTCCTACCGTTAGTATTTGGTAGTGCAGTACCCGCACGAAACGCATCCCCTGTCCGGTCACGTATTTTCTCCCTAGCTGTAGGTATGATTACTTATCAGGACAATACAAATCTATTCGGTACTCTAGACCTGAATGTTCAGGTGTTTCGCGTATTGAAGACGGATTCGCCACAGTAATACTGTATTCTTGGAACTTTCCCAGCGTACGTGTAATCCCCTGCACGCTCATTCGCCAATTTATCGACCACCGAGGCGTCTGTATATCGACTACCACGTTTCTAATCACGTTTGGCGAGACTCTAGAAGAAGAACGGAAAAGAACAGGGCCAGCCTTCCTCCCATGGGCGCGAAGTGATCTTCGGTGCGAATCGATGGTTTCCCCGGGGAAAACGTTTCAACGCCGCGATGCCCTCTACCGGGAGAGGTCACGCCTGCACCTCCACACGTAATTTGTGTTGTCAGCATGACTCCCCGTGTGGCATTCTAGACACGACATGGGAAAGGCTTTCATTTGATTAAAACTGGTTGTTTACGGCGCACACTCCCTGCGTTCGTAATTCTAGACTTGATCCCGACATCAATGATTCGGCACACCGGGTGATTCGTTCATTCTGACACGCAGGGCGCAGTTAATGTGGGGCATCGGAAAACGGCCGTAAAATTCCAGATATGTAATTTTCAACCGGGATGTTGATCTTGAAATTTCATCGGGAGAACTGTTGATGGAATGTTGATGACAGGCAGAGGTAGAGGAATTTATGGCCGATCCGCTGGCGCCTGACCGCTGCAAACTCGTTTCACCATGGTTTGAATTTCATCCGTGCAAACCGGCCACCGACACAGTGTCTGTCTAACTGACCTTGACCTTCTGAACGTTACTGGTTCTTTGAAAGCGTCGGTAACGCCTCTCGGCGAACAACAGAAGCTAGCAATTACTGAAGGGTCATTAACCTTCTGATGACGTCATTAGTAGGCGTGCGGTCAGACACGCATTTAATCGCCCGTATAATGATATCCGTTCCGTGACTATTGTGTGTGCATATCGGGAAACAACGCGTATACTGAATTTATGTGGTGAATTCAAGCCGCCGCGCTGGTGGATTGAACCTGACAGACTAACAGTTGTAAATTTGTACTGGTAAACATCCCTAATCTCCGGGTTTCCAAATATCCGGTATGTATCTAGAGTTTTTTGTGGATTTAACAACCAAAGAGATGGTCTGGCGTGCTACAACGGGCCTAGGACAGAAATCTTGCAAGCTGAGAGGCCAGAGCAGAAGCGCACAAACCTAACTTGTTGAGGCAAGCCCTAGCAAAATATGATGATAAATATGAAGAATTCGAAAATCTTGCAACAAGGTAGACTTATAGGACTCTGAAGAATACTGTCGGCATCAACCCCTGCCATTCTGCCTGTCGCGCATGCGTGACTTATAACTCCGATTTTACTGAATCGATTTTGACAGAAACGGTCAACTTTCCGTGAAGGAGGCCACCTGATGTCAACATTTACACACTCTAAGTGCAGGTGTGAACTATTTATGTTGAACCAAAAGAGGCTCGTTGAACTTCCTTAGTGAACTGAGGTCATTATATAGTACATGCAATGTCCTTGGGTGAACAGAGCGACCTAGATATGTTAAATTTAATTAAAAAAGTTAAAATTTGTAAGTTGAAAATGCCTGAGATTTTTTTAATAGGCTTGTCCCGTTGCCCCGTCCATCTCCGTCAAAACGTAGAAATGCAAAATAAAAATGCAATTTTGACGGGCACGCAGTCACACTTTGATTGGTCAAACGGCTAATTGCCATTCGCTCATTGGTTGAACTACTGATTGTGATGGACAATCAGGCTTGAGTGCAGAACCAAGCCCATCAGAGTTGATTTCCAGCCAGTGTCGGACAGGACTTTACATCAGACCCTCGGAGATCGATTAAGTGGCTGTTCATGGCGAGCCGTCGCTTCCGATAGACGGAGAGTCCAGTGGACGTCATTACAGTCCAAATTGGATCTGGAACTCCGCATTTTTCTCAAGAACTCTCTCCAGGCGGCATCGTCCTGTGGATGTAATGCCTGGCCAAATGCGTCAGTCTTGCCCCATTCGAACTAATGCGATCACTTAAAGATCGAATCAATTCGCTTCCTTGGCGCAGGAGGATAATGGCTTATAGTGCGAGCGAAACTGGTCTTTTTCAAACGGCACAGCAGGGGAAATAACTATCTTTAAATCTTATGTCCGTTTTATTACTTTTATGGCATGACGGGGCTCTCTAACGTCCCGTTGATGGTTTGCATCGTTCGTCATCTACTCAGAGTGTTCTAGACATTTAACTCGTCGAAATGACGTTGGCATGGAGTGAAGGGATGATGAAACAGGAGGAAAATGTTTCACTCGATCGCCTTCAGAAGTTCCTATCGGCGTGTTGTTCCAGAAAGGACAGCTAATAAAGCTGGAGAAACAACAGTGCTAATCAACCTGATCCCACGCCAGCGCGTTCCTAGCAAGGTCGGTCTTGATTGATTCTGCCATCTAATCTGTACAACAAACCTTCACGGGAGAGCCCGCAGTCGGAAGCACCGTTTAAAACTAAAGGGACGGTTTGAACACCTGACGTCGCACGCCGCCATGTGATTTAGGATCTTATCTCTGCGATAGACTAGACCAGCCGGTAAGTTATCTGCGGGATAGACGGAAGTGTAAGAGACAAAAGCACGGCTAGAGAGATGCTATCCGGCATTTCGGGCGTTCCATGCCGGGCACCATCAGATCACAAGTCACGATGTCCGATCCACTCTCATCATCCGCCGCGCCCCACTGATGTCGTTTGGACCAATCACGCCCCGTCCTGCCAATCAAAAATGGAATTGGTCCATTGGAATCAGGAGCTATAAACGGAGCCCAGCCAAGCGGGAAATCGACCAGCTACTCAGTTACCGTTATGTTCAGTCTTGTCATTGCGATTCTCGGAGCGTCCAGCGCGTATACCGAGTCTGGCGCTAGGCTTGCAAGCGTGAAAAAGCTAGGGGCAAAATGAATAAGGAAACTGGAAAAGTGAATCGTGATGCATTAATCTCACATTGTAAGAGGGAAATCTCAGGAGAAGTATTGAGATTTTTCATGCATTTAATGGTACTGACTTACTTTCAACGAGCCTAGTAGTGGTAGTTGGCCGGACAGAAACCGTGTTGTGAACAAGCCCTAAAGCCGGCCGACTTGCATGGGTGAAGCCATCCTTCCTCCCAGCATGCCACGCATGGCTCCCTTTTAACTTGACCCTAATGTCAATCTTCGGTAATAATTGCAAAACCACTCCCTGTCTTCCTGCCTCTCCACTGCATTCAAATGAAATGTGACCTGCACCAATATCCCTCTCTTAGAGTACACAAACGTAGTACTATTACTTGTTAGCAAATGTTTGGGGAAAGTTTTTTCGAGGCAGATGTTTGACATCGATTGGAAAGACAATACTAGTATTCCCAAGGCGCCCATATCACATCAACATGACATGATCACATCAACAGCCATGCGCGATATGTCAGGTTGACGAGCTCAGCATTTAAAGGCCTTCAATAATGATTTTCTTAATACTCCTCTCATCAGAGAAATACGTGCATCAACTCGTTCCACAAAGCTCAGAAGATGTACATTGTAACAATTGAAAGGTCCTTGGTTTTAGATAGAGGCCAATGTAGGGGGTAATCCAGGCAATATAAACGCCCAAGAAGTAGGTATGAAATGACGGATCCTGACTGTCCATCACAATTAGCATTTCTACCAATGATAGCATGGCAATTAGCGGTTCCGCCAATGATTTGAATGCCAACCTGCGGTTCGACCAATGATAACATGGCAATTAGCAGTTCGACCAATGGCAATGGCAATGAGAGAGCGACACATCTGTGTCCGTCCACCCGAATGTCTCCTACATCCTCTCCAGCTGACAACAGAGCTGCCATCCTCAATGCGAGGTCCGCCTCTTTGTTTTCGCGGTGACATGACACCGCGAACGCACGACTACAGCGATACAGAATTTTTTCAACCGGGAGTTAAAAACACCGAGAAAACCACCCTTCTCCTTCTAGCGCGACAGTTTCGCGACTTACAGTATACGAAGCAACGACCCTGGCGTACTTCCTTGCTTCTGGCTGCGTCACATGATGGAGCCGATCCGAACGATTACCGGCCTGGTCACGTCGCTGAGATCGGGTTGTCACCCGCGCGTTGATGGTGTCCGATCGTTTGGTCATGTTTGGCTATATTAGTGACAAATATACATGCGTAACAAAATTTCTGACGCTCAACGTACGTTTGAAAAATACCAGGAGGCAAGTCTAACCTATCCTAGTCTAACCTAGAGGCAGCTGAACCTACAGGAGCCCTATGGGTCCTATCACCGAGCTCACACTTGGTGCCTCGATCGGCCAAAATCCTCATGAAACCGGAGATTTCAAACCTCCGAGAAATATTCAGAGACATTGTCCAACGTTAACCGGCACCCTGCAAACTTCCTGCAGACTCTCCGCCAACTTCCGGTACCCCATTTCCTGTATCTGACCTTTTGTGGTCTGTATTGAGGTAATACACCCATCTACGTGCAAATATTTACGGACAACATAAGAAACAACGCAATGACACAAAAACAAGTATCGCCATCAGACAGAAATTGGTTTTTATTACCTTCTAATCCAAGTATGACGGAGATGGGAAGGTGACAAGATGTATTACATCAAGGGGATAAAATAAATACAATCATGAGAACTTATTGCCTATCACCTTGCTGTTGAACATAGTGGCAACTTACACAGGGCACAGCTACTGTCAGGCCAGGCTCTTGTATTACATAATACGTAATAGCCGCTTGTTATTACGCATTGTCACACTCGACCAGCGGGTCTTACAGCAGAGTATGACACTGGGCGGTCATGTTCGTGTGGGACACCGAGCACAACTAGAATGGTAATGATGTGACCGTAGGGCGTCCCAGCCATTTCTCGTACTACTCCCACCATAGAGAAAGTGAGCAAGCTCACCAGCACTACTGTATTTCCTAGACATCGCCAGGTCAACAGATAGCACTAAACGACCAGATTAAAACTGGGCAACTGGGGACGTCTGATTTGCGTGATCCCTTTGAGTTTCTGAGCTTGTACATGTCCAGATATTTCCTTTATGCTACTCCTTTTTGGCACTCATTCTGGACGCAGTTTCAAACCACACCTCTTTACATATGTTTGTGTACTACAAAACCCCGGCCCGTTTCCGTTTACACTACCGACCGACCATTTACACTGCCGACCCTGGCCCGTTCCCGTTCCCACTGCCAACCCTGTTGTCCTGGGCCATCACCTTTTACAATTCCAATCCCTGGCCCATTCCCGTTAACACTGCCATGCCTGGCCCATTCCCGCTCACACTGCCAACCTGGCGCTACGAGCAGCCACATATTCCAACAGACTGTTCATCTGCACAAAAATAGCAGGTCGAAATCACTCTAAAGATTGCACCTATGGTAGGTAGCCAAGACTAGCGTAGCTCTGTGAGAATGGCATTAGAACCTGGTAACAGGAAAGTCTCCCTCCAATTGATCCTGACTAGCCATCATAGTAGTAATTAGCAGTTCAACCAATGATTGCATGGCAATTAGCGTTTCAACCAATGAGCGCCTGGTTGCCTATCCACAAGTTAATGTTTACATTTTGCATCCCTTCGTTTTGACGGAGGTCGGTGGGGCTAAGGGATCCGTATTGCAGGCATCAGATGGATCTTACATCTTTCACCCTCTTCATCCAACTTCCAATTTATCCTTTCTACTAGCCTGGAAAACCCAGGGTCAGGCCACACTGACTTGATTTTATGGATGAGTAAATTTTGAAATTCCAGTGATCCGAAAGGACGTAAAATAATTGACTACACTGAACATGGTGTAAGTTCTGCCACTTCTTGCTTGTATTCGTAGGCATTTGAATGCAGTAGATTGGAAGGAGGGGGTGGTTGCTGGAGATTGACTTTAAGGTCAAGTTGGAAGGAAGGGTATTTTGATGTTAATGTCATCCACAATTTACCTATGTGTTGCCTTAGTAGTACTTCAGTTTTTGCCAACTGTTCTAGTTTAAATCCAATTTACCTGTCACTGACAGTTTGCAGTGTAAAAACAATGTAAGAACATATCAGTCTGTTTTTATTGGTTTGAAGACTTTCCTCTTACCAATCTCAGCCTGACAACCGCACGGCAGCATGAGCACTAAAGCTTTTTGTTTGGGGAAATTCTCACAAATCTACAAATGTTGCTTCTGAACAAAGCACTGAGGTAATGGAGGATGGCTGACCACAAATTTTATTCTGGAACAACAATATCAATCATACTTGCAACCATAGGTAGGTACAGCGCTTGAAAAAAATTGTTTTGCAAAGACATGTGAAGTTGTGAGATGATCCCTTCCACACAGTTTCCCGAGTGCTCCCCACACCTGCCCAGCTTAACTGTGCACCATACGACATGCTGCGAAAAATAAAAAGGGAGGTAGCTTACAGCACGCAATGGTCACATCTCAACAATCAACTTTACCTTACAGCTCTTGGTAGGAGGGGCAAGGAAACATCACAATGGGTGAAAACAGAATTAACATGGACTGAAAATGTAGGTGAAATGTTGAGGGATATGTTAAAGTAAACTGTAACAACTGAAATGTAAGAACAGTGGGGTACCAAAGTCAGTCTTGTCATCACAGTCTCATAGAGTCTGGAAGGAGGGAGAGATTTGGTGGACATGACAGGGATGTGGGGCCAGAAATCCTGTTTTAGTAGCTCTGGCTGCCAGCAAACAGCAAGAGCTAATATGGCTGGATTTCAGGCTCTGTGGTTCTACAAGCATGGCTGCTAGTATACATGTAAGGGTGAACCATCTAACATCCCAGGTCTGACACCGTAATCTCCCACTCCCTTTCAGCTACAGGCTACAGCTATGTTGTGCTGTACCTTTTGTCATGGGACTAGCTTCAAAACATTGTATACCACCTACTATGGCAAAAGTCTATTCTGTACTGTTTGAATATAGTCCGAATGTTGGGCAAAGAAACATACACTTCCTTTGACACTAGACTGGCAAGAGCTGATGAAGTACATTTGTCATGTGACTTATTCATAGATGAATTTTGTTTACCCTGTCATTTCTTGGTCACATTACCAACAATATTTCTCTGAATCTGATATTGAATTTGGGAAACATGTTCCCTGCTTTCACCACCATCATCATCATCATCTCAGACTCAATACCAACATTCCCAGCAACTAACTACTCTGTGATAGATTGGCATTGTGTAAGGATAAGGTCCTACAATTCTACAAATAGTTTTCTCACCCAACCAAGTAGTGCACCACCTCACCCTGCTAGTCTCATCACAGGAGGTACAGCACGGTATCTCATTTCAATATTTCAACAATCCTATCTTTCAACATATTGATTACTATACTCGTAGAAAAGCTTCCAAACTGCTTGTAAAATATGCAATGTTAGAAGGCTTGATTATCTTGCTGCAGCACCATTAGAAACAGTGCTGTGGGGTTAGTTTCTGACTGTACATTTGGTCCATGCACCATCTCTACCTTGATGCACTCACAAGCTGTCCATTGACCCGTATAGGACCTGCCACGTCTCCAATAAATAATTTCTGCTATTTCCAGAGTTGAGGGCTGTACAGGCTTTAAGGGATATCCTTATGCCATAAATATTAATTACCTTTGTCTGCAGATTTTCCTTCATACCAAAATATGTCAATAAACTGCATTTTCTATACATGACCTATGTAGAAAAATAAGGCATCTCATTCCAGTGGTTGATTGGCAAGTTGATTACCTGTAGAGGCACAATGCACTACAATGTACTCCTACATGTGTGAAGGACCACCAGGCCATGTAATCCTGGTCTAGATGGTCGTTGTATATACGTATGGCATTTCTTCATTTTGTTCAAATGTGGTTTGTAAGTGAGCTAAGACTATGGACCATGGTGGTACCACTTGTACCACCCTGTCCTGTGGAACAATAGGTCATCACATTCAAACTATTAGGAAGATAAAAAAGCTTGTTGGCACACTGTCCTCTGATTTCATCCAATGCAAAAGGCACCAGCTGTCAGAGGCTTATCTAAACTTTGGGGGGCCTAATAAAATATGAGGCTTGTTACATCACTCTGACAGTCACCTAGCCTCTACCAGGCTTCAGAAGTAGCTGGAAAGAGTAGAAATTGGCCAAACAGACAGATAACATGCCAGGGGTGTTGGTCTGCTAAAGGACTACGGTTTGGAAACAGCAAACTGTGCTCCTTTAACAAACCAACTCCCCTGGTACACGCAGTCAACATCCCTGTGGATTATAACAACCACCTTCGTCCCATATTTGATAAAACATTGTTTAAAAGGTGACATAACTGGCAGAGTGATGCATGACCTCTACATACATGTAATCAACAGTCGCAACTTTGTATTGATCTATGCACTCCAGTTAACCACACATGCCACTTCCACAGCACCCACCACCGCACAGGGATAAAACCTTCAGCCTGCAGAATGAATCCTGCTATTGGGTTGATCCCAAGTCAAGTGCAATTGATGAGCTCCCTTTGAACACAATCTCTTCCCACAGTTAGCATCTCTTAAACTCATTACAGTGAAAAATCACTTGCCTGTAACTTACCCCAAATGGCACTGGGACATACTGTGCCACAAGTGCAAATGTGTACAATTTCTGGAAGAATTTAAGATGTCTATGGAAGCTAGTTATTCTTACAATCTGCCAGCTCTTATCTGTTTTGTTTTTCTCCGGTGGCTTCAGTTTGTATAAAGTGTTGGTGTATCCGAACAGAAATCCAAGGTTGAGGTTTTAGTTAGCTCCCCGTTCCAGATACTAGTGAGAAACAAAAGGGCACAGGACTCAATCTGGTTTGTGTAAACCTCCAGGAGTGACCTGGGACTGTACACTCAGCTGGGCGCAACCTAATAGCCAGGTGCGTGCTGTGGGAATGCCATGGTTTAACCTTCACGGTCACACAACATTCAGTTTTAAAAACAAGTCTGACATAAAATCAAGGTCATATTCTCTCTGAGATTTAAAAAGAAAAGAAGATAAAAACCAAACCCTTCATGGAAGGGAGGTGATAACCAATGAAAGGCTGCCGTCTAAGCAGGCAGGCTTTCTGGACCTGATTAGGGGAAGGTGTGCACCTTTCCAGAGCTCTCAGGACGACTCAAGTGCCCACAAAAGCTGCGTATTGCTGGCTTTGTCCAAATTACAGCTTTGGAGGGGGAAGACCGACTGTCACTGCCACATTTCATCCCACACGCACAGCTGCTTCTGCTTAACGTGGTAGTCAAATTGGCGACACTTGCGGCAAGTTTTGATCCCGCAGCGATAGTTGATTACTTTCCCGTTCCCGTCCTTTCCTCGGCAGTACTTCAGGCCGCAGGGGTACCAGCCGATGCAGATTTCCAGCTGGCACGTGCAGGGCTTTAACCAGTCACTACTGTCCATACACCTGACGGCTCTGCTGGGGGAAAGTCTCCTGGTCGCCTGAAGCAGGGTGGTCAGGGTTTTATTGTTTCCTGGGAGGGAAGACAACAAGAAACATTCAAACATAACGATGACAAAAAGAACGAGAAATCTAAGATTTCAGACTTCCCGGCAGTATGCAATCAGCTTCCTGAATCCCCCACGTCAACTTCTAATTTCTGCTTATTCTGAGATAACAGGTTCTGAGACCTTTGACCTACAAATCTGCCTGTCAATCTTCCCACCCACATGCTATCAACCTACTCTGTCCGGACAAACAGATACACAAACCTACAGCTCAGTTACCCAAAACAATACTTCCATACCTGGAAGTAAAAACTTAGCTATGTTTGCTAATATCAGTAATAAATACTCCTTCCTTTTGAGGTGTGCATCTCACCTTTGGCTAAATACTTGAGGTCCACCTCACGTGTGTACGTGGCTGCGCCTGCCTCTGCGCAGATGTTGTAGATATGCCTGCTGATGGCTGCAGACTTGTCCAGGTCCACTCCCATGTCCATCACCAGGTGCTCCTGGCCCTTGTCATCCTCAGCATTTCTGATTGTCCCTGGATTTTTCTGGAATGACACAGAAAACTCTTTGAGTTGAGGCTTCTATCAGGTATTCGTTTACCCCATTTCCTGTATCTGACTTTTTGGACTCCTATCATTCTTCCACCCACATGCTGTCAACCTACTCTCAAATTCGCCCTATTTCCAGTGTCTGACCTACAACCTACTCTTTCCAGACAGACACATACATGTATACCCAAAAAAATACTGTACTTGGCAGTTATAACCCAAGTAAAGTACATTGAGAAGGGTCCTCACTGCGACCAGCCACAAAACCACAGTGTGGTACAATGAGGCTTCTCCAGGAGTACATAAAACGGTATTACACCATTAATAGGAGCCATGATAACTTCCCTTGGCACTATTCCCTGATGACTGTGTTACCCTGAACACCCTCACTACTCACGACTGCAACAAGCAGCGAATCATACCAGCACGGCTCCAATTTATTAGACAGGGGCACTGGTTCTGATCAATAGTTCTTATTGACAGTCTGTCCATGGGAAGTCTGTAGAATACAAGCAGTAAATGGGCCGGGCCAATGGGATATATCGATTGTGGAGGAGTGCATCAAAACAGAATCATTTGTCAGGGGAGTACTGTACATGGGGGAAATTATGGATGGTTATGAATGGGAGAATCATTAAGGAAGTGATAGCTCTGTTTTTGCTTGCCAGTTGTACCCGATTATTTTTACATCGCTTCTTTCTGGCAACACAAAAGACAGTATTGTAAAACTAAGGTACAAAATAAATATTCTTCAAATGGCATTATCTAACTTTTCTTAGTTAGTGTAATGTTAAGGCATAAGGAACCAGCGAAAAAAAAGAACACAAGGAAAGTCCATGCTGCATGAAATCATACTTGCAAAGTACAGTTTTTCTCACTTCTGGGAAATTGGAGATCTCAAACTTCTGCATTTTAGAATTCTTGGTTTCCTGAATTCCCCCATGTTTTCCTCTAATTCATGCTGGCTGCTAGCCAGTCTTGCAATCTTTGTCATTCTGCTTGACCTGTCAATCTTTCCCCCACTCACATGCTGTCAACCTACTCTGCCCGGACAAACAGACACACAAACCCACATCTCAGCCACCAAAAACCAACATTAGAAACTGGGGTAATGCTATCTGGTTATCTGTAAGCAACGTAAATTGGGGGTACAGCAGAAGGTGTACACACCAGTATGTTTGTTCCTAACATTGTTTGACCTTATGTGGAGAAGGATGTTTACACAGAAGGAACCCACTACTTCCTGTGGTCCTAATGTTTTAGCCTCTTAAGCAGGTTCTACCACTGGGGACTTTTTTTGGGGAGGGGGGGGATAAGTTATCACATATTTTTTTTCTAATGCCAATGGCATATCACTTCTAATTGTACTCAGGTTCTTGTGTCTATACTGGGCTAGCACCAGCAGAATCCAAAGGTACAGACAGAAGTGATGATGATATGTCATATTTTAAGGCAATAGCAATTTAATCAATTGGTTCTTGGATTCGCTCACTAAATCAGTAAATGTTTTTCTGATTTGCAGAAAAATATTATGACTCCTATGCCTAGGCCAGTTTTTTCTGCCCTGTTGCTCCATATTTTTTTCTGAAAAAAATCAGAGACTTAACAAATGAAATTGGTGTGGTCTAGGACAAAAATATGCAGCCATGTGCATTACTATACAGATCTGTGGTATTAGGAAGAGACAAGGCAACACAATTTACTGTGACTTCCAATATCAAAACTCCTTGGCGTACCACAGATTTAGGAACTTGCCCTGTAACCAACCTTCAGTTGCATGTGTAATGTCAGCAGCCAGAGATAATTTCCCATGGGGCCAGCACAAATAATTACCAGTAATGTACTGAAGTGGCTTTATCAAAACAAGGGCAGCCCACAAGTGAATTAAAAATGGATCATCTACATGTATTGCATTACTTAGAAAAGTAAGACTTTTCACATAAGAACTCTCAGGCACTAATGATTTTTGTTTATATGCTGTATATCATGTACTGATGTTTTTTTTTTTTTATAAACCAAGGTCATTTGGATAAATGAAAAAAAAATCACAGATTTTTGTCCCTATATGCAACAAAATTTGACCTCCATGAAGACTTACTATTAACATTTCCCTACCACAACACTAAATTTCATACAATGTACTAATGGCCTGATTCTTATTATACACGTACTTGTATATCAGTTTTGATTCCTTGTCTAGTCCCTTATCATTGTACATGTACTAAACTGTCACTCAAACAAGTCAAAGCTGAAGCTGTAATTGTGTAAAATAGGCTGAAAATTTTTCCCTAACCAGAGGGGATTTTGACTACCCTCCAAGCAGAGGTTAGGCTTGTTGTGCTTCCCAAGAAAATCTCACAAGCCTAACCCCTGCTTGGATAGTACATTTTCAGTGGAAGAATATGATCCCTGCTTGGATAGTACATTTTCAGTGGAAGAATGATTCCTGTTGAGTACCGGTATTCTGCCTGCCTGTAGCAGTTCATTAGCCTAGGTGTCATCCTATTTGTATAATGCGTCTCCCATACTTGCTCCCTATTTTTTAGGTAGCCCCAGTATACAATGGGATGGCACCCAGGCTAGCAGTTGATATGATTTATGATCATTTTCTCCTGGGTGGTCATGAATTATTGAGGTTATTACCCTCATCTGTGGGACCCAATCCCATCAAATTATGGGGAGGGGGGCTCTTTATAACACCACGACAAACATTCCATTACACCAAATGAGGGTCTGCATGGGGGGGTCCTGGCAACGGTTAACGATAAATTCAGCAGGGCCGATAACGCTTAACGGTAAATTCAGGACGGTCGGCAACGATTAACGGTAAATTGACAGGCTTTTTTTTTCGAGCTGCACTGGATTTGGTATCTCGCTTTGTGAGAAAAGGTGATCACTGACAAAATTACGTATACCTTACATGTAATGAAGCATGCATTAAAGGTATGTGTTCCCTGTGTTTCCCACCTGCCCTGGTCCCCGAGTGCGTCCACAAATACCGGTACCGGGGTGTCCGAGTCGACGTCGGCCAGCTTGCATTTTTTCAGTCTGCCCAGTTTTACCGATGGATTTTGAGAGGGGAGCGCCGAAATTTTGGATTTTTAAGCCTTCAAAAACGCAATTTCCCGCATTTTTGAGAGGCAAATCAAGTTGTTGAGAGTGTTTGTCGGTCCTTCTGATGTTTTCATATTTTACTCAAGATTTTTGTTGATTTGCCTGTCAAGGTTGACGGATTCGTTAAAAAAAATTCTGTAACCCTCCGCAAACTTCCAGAAATTGAAGGAAAAACTAGTTCTGGCTAGAGCCGAAGGGGACCGAGCGCAGAAGAAGCGCGAGTCAAGCGCCAAAGGCGCGAGCAATGTAGGGGGGTCCGGGGGTATTCTCCCCCGGGAAATTTTGTATTTTTAAACCTTCAATGACGCATTTTCCTGCACTTTGATAGGCAAAATTAGGCGTAACGAAGAATTATTCATTAACGCTTAACGCTGAATTTAGGATGACAAATAACGTTTTACGTTGAATTAAAACGACCCATAACGCTTCACGAGGAATATACTGATAACGCTTAACGTTGAATTAGAGCGGGCCGGCAACGATTAACGGTAATTAAAATAGCCCATAACGGTTAACG